TATATATGGAGAACATAAGAAAGGGAAAAGAAAGCGGAGATTACTAGCGTGCATGTAGCGTGCTGTGGACGTGATTGTGATATGTGAATGGAACATGTCGGCATGCAGTCTTAATGGTGTAGGAATGTAAGGGTCACATCTGCGCACTGGACTATACCGCCTCCATTTGCTTGGACCAAGAGGAATTACTCCATTAATGGACCCCGTTGAATCCAGTTGCTTAGAAGTGGCTAAATTGACAAAAACAAAACCCTAGTTGACGCGATATTTACTAGTACGAATATGCCATAAGAGAAAGATAGATAATTTCTTGGAGATTTGTTTTGGCCTGAAAGTAGGCGAAATTCAGTCAGCCCAATTTTTCTTCGCCTAGCTTTAGCTATTAAACATTGGCAGCAGCAGCAGCAGCAGTAGCAGTCATCGTTAAAAAGTAAGTGGTAATAAAATGTTTTTAGTTGATGCGCTCCTACATATGTTTACATTCGCAGTTATTCAAACACTAACGGTTATCTGATAGAATCGCTAGGAAGTAAATCATGAATGTACTTTACTGAGGCTGAGCAGGAGAATCGAATACAAGGAGGTCAAGCAGGGTGTACAGACACAATGTTTCATTTACCCAGGACAATCAGTTACGCTGCTACTAATACGATAGAACTCAATTGATCGGAACTACATGAGCGTCGCGTTTTGATCGTACAATTTTGACTGACAATAAACTTACCCACAACACGACGATTTTTCAACCAAACACATTCTCCTTTTCGACTACGGACACGGCACGTAAGCCGAACACTCTGGAGAGGATTCGCTTCTGTATCAGCGGGCTCTGCGTCGAACTCCTGCACGCCCGAGGCAGTATCTGGAACCATTGGGATAAGAAAAACATGTTACTTACAACATGAATTTACGTAGTTTAATTTCTGATAATCTTGCTTAGCTAAATTAACTAAACATTATTTTTAACATGTGCGTAAAATCTTAATCTATTAGAAATGATTCTGACACAGGCAATCGACCATATTGATTTCTGTGTAAACAAACGTTTGTATTCAGATAAGATTCCCGTCTGTTACAGAAATTTCGGCTTTGTTAATAAAGTAAATGTATCTGCAAATGACCCAGCTATAAATGGTGGTTAAAACGGGTTAGTATATTGGAACCTACAGACTTAAAATTGTTCTGCAAAGTAGCTAATGTTCCTCAGCTAACAGCGATAACGTAAATTACATCATTTTGACTGTTCTAGATTTTAATCCTCGTACGTTTTTTCACGCGAAGATTGCCGTGTTGAGGACACAACGGCGCGGTGACTTGTACGGCTAAAGTACTGGCTAAAAAGGTCAGGGGTCACTGGTTCAAAGCCTTTCAATGGCATATATTAGACGATAAGTGTGCGACTCATCATATTCTTATTATATTATTCGTAATTTTAAGAAACTGCTCTAGATAGCAGTAGACCATGATGCATCTGAACGTGTAACGTATGTCGGGCTAGTTTGTGTAGTAGAGAATTCAGACGTTCTATAGAACCTCAAGTATGTATCTGTATGCAGAATACATTTGAAGAACATCGAAGAAATTTCCGATTTTATAACTTCAACGAGCGTTTCCAACGTCGGGGAATGCTGCTGTCGCGGTTACGTATTGAGGAGACGGGCTAACGTAGTACAATTTAGCGGGCCGTGCTTTGGCCCCGAGCTTCGGGCGGCTTCCTGCTGCTGATGCCGTTCCGGCGGGCGGTTTCGCCAGTTGTCCCGGAGGTCGTCGCCACCGCAGAAACTTGTCAAAGTAATCCATCTCAGAGACACGGTTGCCCTGCACACAACTATGCCAATATGTCGATAAAATGCAGAAACAGGTCTGCTAAGCAGGCCAGCCGGACCCAATAAGGTGGTTCTCGTTGAAAGAAGCCAGAAATGAAAAATGAAGCTAGCCGAACACTAGGAGGCAGAGATGAAGCACGGAAGCCCGAAGAGTACAGACAAAGATAAGTTAGCTGCTTCGGGCCGAACCTTGCCGCGGCCATAGCGTGTTGCTCTCCGCTTCTTCCCCCTCCACCCTTACCCCACCTTCCTTTTAACTTCGCGTCCGACCCGGTTTCTACTTCTAGGAGCCTACAAGATGCGCGCCAATGCTCCTTACTACCAGCCGGCTCGCTGTCCGGATTTTAATATCATGACCAAGGACCCAATTGAACCGTGGAACGAAAGATTCACTGCCGTGAAAACGCAGGCAGCCCCCAGTGACGGCATACCACTTTTAACAGCGATTCTCCGATATTCGCATATGGCAATCCTTCGATTGAATAGACACTGGAAAAAGAACGTAGCACCGGTGAATAAGGTAAAAATCGCGCATGACCGCACAAACGTCAACGTCAACCTTTTTAGCTGCGGGCATCCGTAGAAAACGGATAATCGGTCATTTGGGGGACGATCATTGCGTCCGTATTCAATGCTGTGAATGAGCTGTGACGGAGACTTTAAATGATGCGGATTGTCATGTATGTAATTCAATTTTAACTACTTTTCTTAGCCAGATGTGTCTATATCAAACGCAGCTCGTTATAGATGCACCTGACCAATAAGAGTCTATTGTGATGTTTGGGAAACGGACTCGAAACTTCGGTGTTCGACCATGGTTGTGCCATAGTTTCAGCGTATCAGAAGGCTTTCTTCTTCTTTTCCGAGGAAAAAAGGCAACACTAGCACCACTTCTGTATTATACTTAACACAAATCGCTGATCCTTCTTACTTTCTGTGTGAACACATCTATTAACGTTTGATTTGTATGCTAACGAAAAAATAACAAAATATACGCCAAACTGTGTGTTAGAGTCCTTGCCAGATCACATTAAGAATTTAACAGGTGAAGATGTTAAAACAGAACCATATGTTGTCCTATATGTTAATGTTTGCAGTGCTTGATCCACAAGGACGTTTACCTCAAAACAGACTATAATTACAGTTCCACCTGGACAGAATAAATTAATGGGAGGGCAGTGCAGTGATGCTATGAATTACCATGGTCCTTTAATCGGCATTCAATGATAGAGTGATATCAAACGTATAGGACGATTAAGCTGTTGATTAAATATTGCTCTGCCTCAGTTCTGACGTGCCTCGCGTTGTGTAATGTATGTAGAAGCACCCTCAAAAATGATTCCTGATGTCCCTAAAAAAATTCGATTGAGCGCCTAATGTATTGTTTGTAGATCTGTATCCACCAGCTATAAGTATACGATACAAGTATTTGTGCTGTTAATATGCGCATGAACTTTTTATCTGACGATATTGGATCTCGACCTGGTGGCCTAGACGGCCAGACCTTCGTTGAAAGAGACTGAGAAACGCTGTTTCGAGTTCTGGTACTACAGAACCTGCGTGAATGAACAAAGCAATTATATCGAACCTCGGATCTCAGATGCACAACGATCTACAGTACGACGAAATCTCAGACGATATTCCAGCTTTTTTAATCAACACAAACTGATAACATTTTCATCGGATCTTGCCACTTACTTGATATAAGACCTGACAGCTGACCCGCACTGAGATAAAGGACTGACAATGCAGGGATTAGTTTGCCAGTATTTTTCGAAGAAAGGTCACAAAGGACATAGGTCAAGAAAACTGCAGACTAAGGAAAACAGCGATCTTATATCATACCCGTTTTATCGGACTGAAATTTTATTTGAACGCTGGACGATTTTTAATGCTCGAGTTCGCCCAACACTTATATATGGCGACATCAGTGTGTGCTGTCATGAATTTGCTTAAGTTCGCGCATTCTGTTCCACGGTGAAAGCTTCTATATATGCGATTGGACCATAGGAATATACTTTTTGGCGTCAGCTTATGGGCGACCCAGCCACCACTTTTACGGTAGGTTTGTACTCGACAGTCATGTCAAGGTAAAGCTAGAGAGGAGCCGGGCAAATTGGTAGAAAAAAAGGGCATAATGGGAGGGGGCGGACCATGGTCCTCTTTCGTAAGTCTCATGCAGCACGTATTCGACGCTGCGTCTAGAAAACTTTTCCAATTTTCTAGCGGACTTAAGACAGAAATCGTCATTGCTATGAACGGAAAATATCCATTGAAGTTGTTTAGAGGACTAATATAAGATTAAACCAAAATAGTTATATTTAACATAAAATCCATTGCAACCGATAGATAGCCACGTTTTATTAAAAAAAAAAACAATAATAGCTGACCATGTACAGTGAGCTGCATGAAATCCTAGCCTTTTTACATTTGATTTCAACAGCCCGTATCGTACCCAAGAGCTTTAGGAGACTTTGTACGGAAGTAGAATTCGAAATTAGACGCATGCCAGCCATTTGGAGTTTCGGACGCGTCCATGGTTGCTTAATAGTTCTGGTTAGACTTATTGCTTTCGCTTCGATCCTCTTATTTTTTGTGAGTTCCTCCAAAGACGCCTATGTCTTCTGCGAGCCAGAAAGACGGGCTTGCCGCATATCAGAGCAACTTCAGTAATCTCGGTCGGACGATCCAGCTCGTGGTTAGGTGAAACATTGTATGAGTAGCCAGGGGATCAAGGCAAATTTCACACCATTCCAACGGAGAGAAAGACGAAGGCAGCGAAACGAAACAACCCGAATGGGGAAACAAAAAAAACTTGGGTCACGAAGGAGAAGCGAAATACTTGACTACGAAAACGGCCTCTGTCAAACATGTGGCAACTGCAGGGCCCACTGCGCCCATACACTGGCTTCAAATTGCACGCCAATTTGGGCGTTGGCCCATTCGCCCCTTCATCATGCTAGAGTCCAGAGGAAAATTTTGGATTGACCCTACAACCCCCGTTAAAATGAAATTACATGTTATTCTTCATGGCGTAAACTACAGCTGACATCACAGTGGCAGGAAAAACTTTTCTTTTTGTTTTCTATGCATTTTTCTGTACGCCACAATTTATAACCGTTCTGGCAAATCTTTTCACATCATGAAAAAATTGCTATTCAATTATAAATTTATTAGTTTTATCAACTTACTGAAATAAGTGGGGTAAATCTAAATCTATTCAGCGGAGTGTTTGCTGCCCCTGTTTACATTCATGACCTTCAATTTTAGCCGGCCAAATCTCGAAACATATAACACCAGAGCTGGCTGTCGTCTCCGATGTAAATATAACCGTAGAGTCTTCGAACGAATTGAGGAGGGGCATTTTGAAATTGCCTGTTATCGTTTTGCAGTCCAGCGTAGATCAAAATAGGTACGTAATAGAAACAAATACGTTACTACAGCACATCTTGGCCTTGATGAAATGTTGACTAGCATTGTATCAATTGGCACACTCGACCGCCACACCGTTGACAGACATCAACAATACGCGGACCTCGCACCCAAGACAATGGCGTCCATACGCTATATAAGAAACAATGCCCCTCATCTGTAAGTGCATACGTTCGTTGCAAAATGGCGAAGTTCCTGATCGAAACAAATTTTTTTTCGATTTTCTTCTCCGGCACTGCGACTCCACAATTCGCTGCAATAATTCCGCAGACTTTCGAAAAAAAAATAATACTAACCAACGTTTGGCTTGGCTTGCCTTGTGATTTTTCGCTATACGTATAGTATATGTAATCCACTGACCTGGTCACGCAATTTCGAATCTATCGATACCAGGCTGTTTCTCAAAAAACAAAAGCGATTCTCGATCATTTGCCATCATTTACAAGTCCAGATCCAGTCAACTTTTGAACTCTTCCATTGAATCATTGGATAGCTTTACGTTTGTCGTCCTTGCTGTCTTTATATATTCTATAGTCCTTCATTTCAGCAGTGCAGCGGCCACAGCCACTGCAGCGCCGAAGCATTCTCAATCGTACCTGTCGAG